AGGGTTTCCTCATGTTGGCCAGGATGGCCTTAATCTCTTGACCTCGTGATTTGCCTGCCTTGGCCCCAGAGTGCTGGGATTAGAGGCATGAGCCCGGCCTTGGCCTAGGTTTAAAAAAACATATTACTTACTCTTTTGTATTATATCCCATGGGACTTTTTTGCGTCCCCAAACAATATTTGTTGGCCAGTCTCTATTAAAGAGCCTGCATTAGATACATTACCTAACGGGGCTTCTGTTCTCCCTAGTATCAGTATATGTAACTTAAAAAAACAGTTACTGTCAGCTGCTGGTGTTAGGTATCTGAAATGCTGTATAGAAGGGGTCAGCAAACCATGCCCATGGGCCAAATTCCACCCACCTCCTATTTTTGTAAATAAAGTTTTCTCGAAACACTGCTGCATCCACTCATTTTCCTGTTATCTAAGGCTTCTTTTCTGCAGAGTTCAACAGTTGCCACAGACACTATATGCCTCACAAAGCATAAAATATTTACTATCTGGCTCTTTACAGAAAAAATTTGCCAAATACAGCTCTACAGGAAGAACAAAGTACACATGTGTACCAGTCTGGGAGTTCTTTAAGAAATTACCCCTCCCTCCCATGAGTGTAAATAGCCTTGATGGCACGTCTGAGAAATCAAATCTGATTTTCCTTCAGAGTTTCACATCTTTCTGGAGTGTGCAGTATCTTATAGTTCTTTTTAATTTTATATGACACACTTCTTTTGAAACATCTGATTTTTATTATTTTTTTCATTAAGGAAAGTTAAATTATATTTTCTTTGAAGACATTTCTGAAAGTTCTGTAGTATTTTCTGAGATCATGAAAAACAGTAGATTTACAAAACCAGCATTGGGAGGGGCTGCATTTGAGTACTGTCCGAGTGACGTGCAGCTGGCCGTTATGATGACTTGTGACCCAGGGGAGGGAGATGCTGAGTGGGCTAGCCTGAGCACCGGATTTTCCTTATAGACGAATTATCTTGTCTTCCTGCCTATCACCCCGCCCAGGCACTCAGCCACCGGCTGTTTTGGAACATTTAGGTTGGTGTCTTATTTATTTAAAAAATGATGGAAATGTTGATTGTTTTAATGTACATGTATCCTTAGTAGCATTTCTCAGTAGATACATTTTTCCTGAGCTTATTTAAATGGACCAACCTGCTTCTAGCTGATGCCTTTGCAAAAGCCTCCGGGTCATAACTCGACTGTCTTTTCTTTATGTAGGGTAATAAAGCCAGAGGCCTGCAAGAACACTCCACCAGTGTGGATCTGAATAGCTCCGTGTCGAGTACATTAAGTAACACCAGCAAAGTAAGCACATTTCTCTTTATACGACACCCTGAAGAAACCAACACATAGGTCCTGCTCATCTCCTATCTACATACGTCCAATCATAAAACATTTGGGGCTTCCAAATTTCTTGGCACAGGTGGAGGGCTGGTCATGCAAGTCTATCATAAAATAAAAGTTTCATGTAAAAGAGCAGTTGGTCATTCCATAAACCAAGAAACAAGATCACAATTTTAGACAACTAATGTCTAATTTGTTACAATACAGCCAGTGGATTTCTTTCTCAAGTGGATTTTCCAATCAAAAAATAATTAATGTTTGGAAAACCTCAAAGAGTGGATTTGTGAATTTAGAGGAGTGTATGAGACCAACATCATCCTGATACCAAAACCTGGCAGAGACACACCTAAAAAAGAAAATTTCAGGCCAGTATCCATGATGAACATTGATGTGAAAATCCTCAATAAAATACTGGCAAACCAAATCCAACAGCACATCAAAAGCTTATCCATCATGATCAAGTCAGCTTCATCCCTGGGATGCAAGGCTGGTTCAACATACTCAAATCTATAAATGTAATCTATCAATTTTTTCTTTTTTTAAAAAAAATTATTTTGGATTTAGGGGGTACATGTGCATGTTTATTACATGGGTATATTGCATACTGGTGGGGATTGGGCTTCTAGTGTACCCGTTACCCAAATAGTGAACATTGTACCCAATAGGTAATTTTTCAGCCTTCACACCGTGCCCTTTCATTCTCCCTGACTTTTGGGTAAATTAAATTTCTGAAACTTTATCCTGTAGCTGGCTCTGTGATTATAATGACACATTACTGTTTTATTTAAATAAGCAAGTATCTATGTCCTTCTTTTAATAACTTGGTTTCCAAACATTTAATCATATTTAAACCTGGTCAGTTCAACTTTATAACTACCGAAAAGTGGGTCTGGGTTTTGTGCTAGGGAGGCCAGCTTTCCCTTCTGCTCCCAGAGGCCTCTCTTGATGCAGTAGTGGTTGTTTGTGGAGGCCAGCTCCGTACCACAGGAATGATTGACAGTCTTCCACCATCCCTCCTAGACACATGGCTTTCAGAATTTTTCTAACCTACAGTAAGAAGCACATTTAACACTGTGATGTAGTTCACAAACACACATACCTACACATTCATACACAAAATCAGAAGTTCACAAAACAGTATTTACTGTGAACAACATACAATACATACTGATATTTTGCTCCATTTTATTTTTAAAATGCCAATGGCAGACTCAGTTGTACTACCTACTAACGTGTTAGAGGGCCCAGTTTGAGAAACCCTTCCTTAGATGACTACTTCTCAAATTTCAGGTGCCTGCATAATAGGGTTGTGGTTCAAGTGCATATTCTGGTTCAGCAGGCCTGGGGGGAGGCCTGAAATGCTGCATTTCTGACAAGCTCCATGGCAGTGCTGCTGTTCCTAGTCTGCAGACCCCCTCTGGGGAATAAGGACCTAGACAGCAGTCTCGTAAATGTGAATTTCTAAGTTAAAATCTAGTGGAACATAGCATCGTCCAGCTTCCATCTAATACATACTGATCTTATCCTGCAATTCATGCAACTGTGGAAAGGCTATTTGTTTATTTGTTGTATACAGTTGAACAACACACAAACCCTTTCATGTAGGAAGTTACCTAGGAAGAGAGAGATGACAGATGCACAAACAACCCCAACATAAGCAGAGTGTGGTAGGATCCCAAATGTCACAAATAAGAGACATGGGTATCTTAAATGTCAGGAGAACAAAGGGAAGAGAAGTTAGGTTTGGTCAGTGGAACCAGGGTAAACTTGAGGGGTAAGGGGGGCTGTGGTGTTTTTGGACTAAATTTTAGTATAGGTATTGTGCCTGTGGAAGTGAGCAAAGAAGAAGGCACTCCAGACAGACCAGTGTCAATAAAGATACCATGAAGAGATTCATGTCACTCAAGTGACTTTCCAGCAAGTCTGATTGCTTGCTTTTTATTTTTCTCCAAAATGCAGGTCTAGGAATATATACATATTCATTCTTCAGGACTCAATAGTTCTTAAGACTCTTTTAATTTAAGGATTTAAAAGTCTAAGATTTCAATTTCTAGAGTCATTCGAAGAGAGATGCAACTTTTCAGAAGCTGTTTGTGTGTATTGTATATGTTTACGTGTACTTCTTAACATCTTTCTTTTATTCCTCTTGAACTGAAAAACTGCTATAAAGATATTCTATTTGATGTAATTGCATCTGTTCTAACAAATTGATCACCTAGGAGTTACAAAGAAGCCAAAATAGCCTTGAAATTTTACAAATGAAAACGGCCCTTTCAGTTGTCAAATTAAGCTAAGGATTAGCTCTGTGATCTAATTTGGAGGGATAGTAATAAGAATTTAGATCAACAGGTTTGCATGATGGAGACTGTGTTCTGTGATGTTCAAGTATTGAGTCCTCAAGAATGAAAAACTTCAGTTATGAAAGTAATCAACATTTCATAATATGTTGGGATTTTTTTTCCTATTTCTTATAAAATTAAACATATATAACTTCTCCCTTTAATGAACAAATTTCATTTTTTTTTCAAATTAAAACCCTCAATATCTGTCTACCTAAAAGGCACTCAACTGTGTATCAAATGAACAGGTAGAACTCAGAGTCTCCAGTCCTCTATTAAATGCTTTCATTCCTGTTTATTCATGTTGATTTATTTTTTTCCCTTCCAACAATTTCAATGGGGCAAGCTGCTACAATTCCTCTTTTAAAATATTTTAAATATATAGAAATATACTGTATTGGCCACAAGCCACGTCCTGGGTGTGCAGTGCTAAACATCAGCTTACTTGAGTGGTAGTAGTTCATTCCCTTGATAAAGCATGCATTGTGAAGACAAACAAACTTAAAATACTGTCATGATTCTCAACAAATGTGTGAGTACTCATACCATAGATTTATTTATTCCCTAGTAAAACAGTAACTTAGGTTTGTATAACATTTGACAATATAAAAAGTACTTTTGGTTGTATTATCATGCTTTGTTCTTGAAACCCAGTGAGATAAATGTTTACCCTCTTACACATGAAGAAATTGAGGTACAGAAAGAAATGATTTCCCCTGAATTTCAGCAATAAATGCCTACAGAGTGATTTTTCTGTATTCTAAGAATGTTGATACAGTTCTAATCTCAAGATGACGAAGTTGAATCTCAACAGTAGATCAGATTCAGAGAGAGCCTTAAAATGTGGGTTTAACATGAGTGAACACGTGTGGCAAAGATAAAGAACTCAGTGAAGCAGTGGAGACAAGGTGTCCAGCACCCACACCCCTTAGAGGCTGTAGTAAACAGTCCTGTTTTGTAGAGGCAGGGCACTGTTCATGGCGTTGCCCAGGACGTTACAGATGGTGGCTCATGTCCTTCCGTCCTCTACTTGGGCACTTTCCCCATTTCTCCAGCCAGCCAGCAGCGTGTCCTTGAGGAGCAGGCATTTAATGGACCTTCATTTTCTTCTGCTTTTGGTGGTGGACTCTAGATGGCGTTATAATTAGAACACATACTTAGATATTGAAATGTTTGCCTGCACTGGAACTGTCGATGTATAAATCCCACAGATTCCCCATGGTGTGTCTTAATCTGCTGTGTGTTTGCTGCCAGGAGCCGTCTGTGTGTGAAAAGGAGGATTTGCCCATCTCTGAGAGCTCCTTCAGGCTCCTCGGCTCCTCAGAGGACCTGTCCAGTGACTCGGAGAGCCATCTCCCAGAAGAGCCAGCTCCGCTGTCGCCCCAGCAGGCCTTCAGGAGGCGAGCAAACACCCTGAGTCACTTCCCCATGGAATGCCAGGAGTCTCCACAACCGGCTCGGGGATCCCCAGGGGTTTCGCAAAGGAAACTTATGAGGTATCACTCAGTGAGCACAGAGACGCCTCATGAACGAAAGTAAGATTCGTTTAAATCTGTTGCATAAATAGCTGGGGCATATCTGGGACTAGCCAGGTATGTGCATCCCAGGTATGTTTATTGAGTGAGAGAAACTTGAGTCAGACTTTACTCTTGGCTCAAAGAGATAAGACGGGAAGCAGTGCCATGTTCGTTCCCAACTCAAGATGCTGCTGGTATGTATACAAGCAATGGGTACATGTATTGTCAGGAAGTGGAGAAAGTGAGCAAAAATGGTACCTAACATGTATAGCCATTACTCCTCAAACAAAGTAAGAGAAGTTGTTGACCTTGGAACTTTGCTGCGGTGAGCAAGAGGGCAGGCGGATGAGTCTCCCCTTCTGAAGCCCTGGAGCAGGGCTACAGTGGGAGGGAGAGGCTGTGATCCCTACAGGCAGAGCAGGAGAGGTATGCTGGCCTCATGGGGTGACAGGGGTACCTCGGGTTCTGGTCCTAGCTCTGCTGTGAACTAATTGTGACCTGGACAAATTTGTTAAAATTCTCTAACAAAATTGGAGTAGATGTCTTCTAAAATCTCTCACTGTAAGAATTCTAGATTCTTCTAACAAGATTTATTCAGTGGACTAGTTGGGCCCCCGTGACCAGTTAGAATCATCTGGTTATGGAGAAGGGTAATCAGAAGTTTCCCCTGTTGCTTCCAAGTGTCCCTTAGTGATTCATTTAATTCTGTGTGCCAGAGACTGTAAATGGACACAGAGTTATCTTGAAAAACAACTTTAAAAATTTTTTTAAATCCTTCCCCTGACAAATAGAAATCAGGGTCACACCTGTAGACAGTGGCTACCTTCCTCTGACTAGCAGCCGCAGAAGTCCCTGAGTGTTCCTGTAGTTCACACACGGATCGCTGAGAGTGTGAGTGGGTACGGCAGTGTTGGGAATGCTGTGAGTAGAGAAGCGGGAGAATTAACTGTCCTGGATGAGGGGGCAGAGCCGAGAGCTTTGTTTTCTATCAGTCGTTGGAAGGAGTTCTCGGTTCTTTGGAATTCAGCAGGATAGTGGTGATCCCCAAACCAGGGCACACGTCAGAAGGTACTGCTTAATAAACACGAGCTTTTCAAGACGCATCACTGGGTTGTAGCTGTGTACGTTTCTTGTGTTTCTTAACACCCTGTCTGTACACTGCTTCTGTTCTGCCTCACCACTGCCTGCCCACTCCTCTGTTTTTGGCATGTTCGGTGATCATTGAAGCATTCCCGCCTGGAGAGTCTTAGTTCCTTTGTGAAGTCTGCTGTTTCTCATAAGCCAGGGTTGGTAGGACTTCGTATCAGTACTTTTCCTTTCTCCCTGAAGAATGTAGGTTTATAATAGATGATGTCAGACATCTGTAATGAGACGGATGGGGGGATGCCTGTCTGTCTGCCTCTCTGGCATGGCCCATTCTGCTTTCTTTCCCTTTGTGGACTCTTTTCTGATTTATCTACAGGAAATAAGACATTGACATTCAGGACAGGATATTGTTCATTTTAAAGGGACGTGTATTTTTTAACGTTAGGATTTTTTTGCTTTAACATTTTTTTTCCTGTCGGTTCCTGAAAAAGAAAATAGAGAAAAAAAGTCTTATTGTTGCTGGGTGAAGCGGCTCACTCCTGTAATACCAGAGCTTTGGGAGGCTGAGGTAGGAGGTCACTTGAGGCCAAGAGTTCAAGGTTACAGTCAGCTACGATCGTGTGACTGCACTCCAGCCTGGATGACACAATGAGACCCATTTAAAAAGAAAAATATTGTTGGGAGCGTAAACACACAGGAAATGGTCCAGAATGGCCCTTGATATTCTTCTCTGTTTTTTACTGACAACTCCTTTTGCCATAGAGAGAGCAGAGATGAGGAAAAGGAGTGGAAGAAGCCCTCCACTCTGATAGTGTTATTGGAACAACAAGACCAAGGCAGTTGTGCTCCTTCTGTCTGTTTGCTCTGTGTCCCTGTCGGCGCCCCCTCTCCCGCTAACCCACCGTGCTTTCTCTGATTGCTGTTTAGTGTGGATCCTTCACCTGCGGGTGAGTCTAAGTGCCGCCCAGGTCAGTCTTCAGCTCCTGCTCCTCCACCTCGTCTTAATCCCTCTGCCTCCTCGCCAAACTTTTTTAAGTACCTAAAACATAATTCCAGTGGAGAACAAAGTGGGAATGCTGTGCCAAAGAGGTGAGCACACTCACGTGGCAAGTTCGGTGTTGTCTGTCTTGCTGGGGAGTTCACACTGACAAGGGTGTGCTGAATGGGGGGAGTGTCCACGCAGGAAGCAGAGCCACTGTCTGTGTGTGTGTGTGTGTGTGTGTGTGCGCGTCTGTCTGTATTTCGTCTTATTTTCAGCTGTCATTTGAACCAAGTTAATTTTACTATTGATTACTTAAAATTATTATGAAAACAGATCTTAATGGCACATTGGTTTGTGTTTGTTTTTGTTTTTGAGACAGAGTCTCACACTGCCCCGCAGGCTAGAGTACAGTGGTGCGATCTCGGCTCACTTTGGCCTCCGCCTCTCGGGTTCAAGCAGTTCTCCTTCTTCAGCTTCCTGAGGAGCTGGGACTACAGGCATGCACCACCATGCCTGGCTAATATTTGTATTTTTTTGTAGAGATGGGGGTCTCACCATGTTGGCCAGGCTGGTCTCAAACTCCTGACCTCAAGTAATCTGCCTGCCTCGATCTCCCAAAGTACTGGGATTACAGGTGTCAGCCACTGCATCCCACTGCAAATAGTTTTTTGTATACTTATTTTCAAATTTCCTTGCCCTGGTGGACACTTACATACATGTGTAAACACACATACACACATTAACATTTGTGTTTGATCATGTACACTGCAATTTGTGCCATATCAAAAACTTCCTGATTGATTTAGGAGTCATTTGGAAAATGGATTGATTTTCTTTTTTTTAGCAATTACTGATCTCGTTCATTTAAAATCAGATTTTATTGGTGAAAATGAAAGTTAAATCTCATTCGTAAACTACTTATAATTTCTTACCTAGTTTACTTTTCTTAGCATTAGAACAAAAATGTTTCTTTTATTTTGAAGTTTATATTTTGTACTTTGTGTTTTTATGTTTCTTTATCCTAAACTCTTTTTTCAACCAAACTCTTAGCATCTCCTACCGTAATGCCCTGCGGAAAAAACTTCATTCTTCTTCCTCTGTGCCAAATTTTCTAAAATTTCTGGCTCCTGTAGATGAAAATAACACCTCTGACTTTATGAACACAAAAAGGTAGGGCTTAATTTAGATAATATCACGCCTGGGTGTTATTAATGTTGAATATCATTAGATATACAAGGGTGTTTTAACTGTTCTTTTGCCATTAAATCATTTCAGCTAAATCTGTTGTGTCTTCTTTCTTATACCCTTTTCTTACTAAATGTAATTTTTAAAAAATGTACAACCAACCTGTTCTCCAGTTTTGATGAGGATTATTTTAAGTGTTGTTATCTTAAGAAAAGTCTTTGCCAAGTCTCTGAGACCCGTGTTCCTGGGTAGTGAGCATATAGCTGTCCCAAATCAGGTTTGTCCAATCTGTTCGGGATGTCTGATCTGTAAGTTGAGGGGATTGCTTAGTTACAGGTACATGACTTGGGTATAAATTAGAAGGGCCTTCTCAGTTTGTCCTGTGAATAGAAAAAAAAAATTATGATTGTGTTTATATATTGATAATTATATTTTGTAGTTTTAAAAATATACACATTAAAACGATCATCATCATCAAGTGACTGCATAGTTACTGTCTTGCTGGTTCTGTGTAATTAAATTGCAACTTTTTTCATTTTTTGTGGGAATCCTTGGAGACTCGGGCCAGTGCTGAGCAAATGATACTCCCATGTACAGAGTAGGGCAGAATGGGGACCCTTGGCATCACCCCCCCCTTTCCCCCTTTAGGCAGTTTCTTTTTTTTCAAACTGTCACCAAGAGAGGCCCAATTGGAAGCTATGATATGTGGAACATGTTTCTTAATCTCTATTATAATGGAAATCATTTAAGGGTATGTAATCTTTCTTTTCATGAAAAAAATCTTGTAAGAAAGCAGTTCTTTAGGAATGATGACCTACTATGAACTTGATATAACTTCTGTGATTATCTAATTGTTTATTTACACAAAGAGAGTTGATAATTTAGTGCTGTGTTTAAAAAAAGTTAAGCTGACAAAATCCCATTAATTCCACCCCACTAGTCATAAATCAATCATCTTATAATTTTAGGGACTTTGAATCCAAAGCAAACCATCTTGGTGATTCTGGTGGGACCCCCGTGAAGACCCGGCGGCATTCTTGGAGGCAGCAGATATTCCTCCGAGTAGCCACCCCGCAGAAGGCGTGCGATTCTCCCAGCAGATATGAAGGTAAGGCCTATACCTGAAATGAAACTTCAAGAGACTATGCAAACATCCAGCTCACAGAGGACCCTGGGAGCCCCATCATACTGGTAGGAGAGCAGAGAGCTGGCCTCTTCGGTGTTGGTAGGTCTGAGGCAGTCACAAAGGTAACTAGGGAGGGAATTTGGAGGTTACCCTGCATTTCTTAGGGAAGGAATTTGGAGCTCACTTGGGGTAACCCCTCCATAAACAGGAACCGAGCTCTGATGTTCCCAGTGATCACAGTGTTACCAGCAGTGAATCCACACAGGTCTGCAGCAACCTCACATCTTGCCTCCTAAGAAGAAAGAATTTGACCAAGGGACATAGGCAAAAGGAGAGACTGAGGCAAGTTTTAGAGCAGGAGTGAGAGGAAGTAAAGTACACTTGGAAGATGGTCAAGTGGGCAACTTGAGAGGTCAAGTGTGTGATTTGGCCTTTTGACCTGGGGTTTTATAGGTAGCATACTTCCGGGGTCTTGCGTTCCTTCTCCCCTGATTCTTCCTCTGGGGTGGGGTGTCCACATGTGCAGTGGCCTGCCAGCGCTCTGGAGGGGAGCATGCGCAGGGTGTTTACTGGCGTTGTACACATGCTCACCCAGCGTTCGGCAGGGGAGGATGCGCAGGGTGTTTACCGGCGTTGTACACAGGCTCACCCAGCGTTCGGCAGGGGAGTGTGTGCAGGGTGTTTACCAGCGTTGTACACATGCTCACCCAGCGTTCGGCAGGGGAGCGTGCGCAGGGTGTTTACCAGCGTTGTACACATGCTCACCCAGCGCTCGGCCGGGGAGGATGCGCAGGGTGTTTACCGGCGTTGTATACATGCTCACCCAGCGCTCGGCCGGGGAGGATGCGCAGGGTGTTTACCGGCGTTGTACACAGGCTCACCCAGCGCTCGGCAGGGGAACGTGCCGCAGGGTGTTTACCGGCGTTGTACACA